TCTTGTAATAGTTTATGCTCTGAAAAAATATACGCATACAAGATATACTCAATTCTTTATCGAATGGGTTTTTAGAATACTTTATATTAAGCTAAAAAAGTTATTTAGCCGGGAAAAACTATTAATATTTTTGGGATCGGGTATACCGCCATTTTTATAGGTAATAAGATATTCCTGATATTTTTTAAGTATTCTAAGCCAGCACTTGACTACTATCACACCTGATGGGAAGTGCTGATGCAGCCGAAGATGGTAAAGCGCACTGACTTAGCTTAACAAAAGTCTATTAATTCTTGCCTTGAAGACACACACAATGTAATTGAATAAAAATACAGATACATGTACTGGCAACTCCCTAAATGAGTTATCTTATGCTATTTCTGCCTACACTATTGATATAAATGACAAGACATGGCCTTGCAAAGAAAATTGTTCACGGTTTAAGGATAGAATAAATCATCGCCATCTCTTAAATTCTCACGAACTACCACGGAACCAGTGTTCTCACTTATGATTTTGATTTTACCCTAGAATCTAAGAAATATTCCCTAAATTATCGTAAAAAAATCAAAATAGCCTTACTTATTCTACCTAATTTTCATTATTTTAAAGAACATCATTGCAAGATTTGAATATCATTTTACAAAGTGGAAACACCGCACGGACGCACGGCACGCATTGGTGGTTGCGTTGATGCTCCATAAACATTTTAGCACCAATGAGTCGGTCCATTTTGTTTGTTTAATAACCCGGCCCGGTCCATACGCAGTAGTACAATAAGTCTACGGTCTACAATGATTTCCCATTGTCGCTCTCACGACATTTATGAGACGAATCGCGATTTCTCTTATACCGTAACAAAACAAACATTCCCATGTATAATTTTTGTTCGTTTTATCTGCCTTGCCAAAAGCTTCCGTCTGGTTGGGTCTTATTTATTGAAATGAAATGAAATGAATGATTTTATTCCACATAGATTACTTATTGAAAGTTATTTTTTAATTTACCACTGGTTCGCAAAAAAAAAACCTCTGTCCTAAGAAGAACCAGCAAGAAACCCAGCGGGACTTTTTTTAAACATATTTAAATTAACAATAAATTTATTTTGTTACAATTTTTGATCTAGTGGTATACATCTAGTGGCAGCGTAAAATAATACTTCCTGATAAAAAATAAAAAAAAAACACTTGTATGATAAATATCCCACCTATAAGGCAAACTATAGTAGAGTCTCGAGATCTATAGAGACGTGGTAGAGCCACGCTGCAGCTATATTATGGCGAATGGGTTGGCTCGACCGGGGAAGGACCACGGTCTCACAGAATACCAGCGTAAAATAACAGCTTAATACTGATGTGTTTCGTATGGTGAGTGTAGAGATCCGGAGAACCTTTTTTACGGGAACGAGGCACTCCATTTTAGTCCTCAAGGGTGGCAACGCATCTGCGTTTTGATTCTTAATCGAGGATAAATGTAGATGTTTATGGGCCACAGCATCCACTTACCATCAGGTGGACTTTGTGCTCGTTTGTCACCCTTATTCTATAAAAAAAACTATAGTAAGTGCGTGTGTTCAGCAGTGAACTTTGGACAGGCTGCAAAGAAAGAAAAAACTGAAATCCGTTATGTTATTTTTCCTACCTTCGCGGTTAACAATGATTGTTCCAATAACATTTCCGTTATCGTTTATACGCGTCATTGTTTTTGTGACCCCAGGACCCTGTAAAAAGAAAATAGACCAGTAGTCAAATTTAAATTAATTAGCAGCCATAATTTCCTTACACGCGATGAAACCGAACTCAATCTTCGTAAGCACTAAAGAAATCATCAATTGTAGATAGACAGACAAGTCCTGCTTTATCTTAATGATTTCTTATATTTACGCGAATACTATACATTGATTCAAACTAATTTTACGGATTTTATCGCGTTTATTTATGTTATTTTTACGTTTCGGGTGCTTTCCAGCACCCATGTCCATGACCATGGATGCTGGAAAGCACCCAAAACGTCCTACTTTATCTTGCTCAGCGGTGAAGGAAATCTTTATAAAGAAACTTGCATGTTCAAGTAAAAAACATAAAATTAATTTGAGGACATGTGAGCTACGTCAAACGCATTACGGCGCAGTGCGGCGGTTTCTTCTCTGCTCGAAAATCCTTTCAAAAATACTTACTATACGCTAGTAATATAGTTCGATGACTTTTTATAACTTTTTATTGCACAACTTTCACCATAATTCTTTGTATAATAATGATTTTATTGTTTTCAAATTTTTAATTTCAAAATCACTCAGTGTTTCACGGTGACTTTTTCTAGGTTATATTTACTAAATTATATTAGACAACGTAAGTAGATGAGGTTTTAAATGCTGTAGTTTCATCAACTACTCTAGTCACCACAAATATTAAATTCCTCAACTCAGCACACTTCACTCCGTCGACAACTGCTAAGTTCATTTTATACCCTCTAGCTACTCTAGCGCTGTTGTGGAGAGTTTTTGAACTGTTATTTACTGCTTACAGATGGACACTTTATCAACTATTCTACATGTGAGACAGTTCTTCTTACCTCTACTAGACAAATAATTGACAGTATGCCTATGCTGTATACTCGTGTATAATAATGATCTAATAGGTGCAGTACAGGATTTCTCACATTTCTGTGAAAGTATTGTGGCAAAATTAATTTCGCTGCGCTACTTTAGGGTGAACAACCAGCACGATCTACTATGGTCATAGAACTAGATTACGAAATAGCGTACCATATATTTTTGGGCAATCTCCATGATCACGTTTTAATTGAATATAAATTAGAATTGACGTAAGAACGTACTTACGATCAGAATTTCTTCAATGAAGTGACAGATTCTTATAACTTCTTAATATTATCTAAAGAGCACTAAAGAGTTTTAATATTGATTAAATACTGAAGAGAGGCAAAAAAGCATCTACAAAAACTTTTTTCTTTTTTGACGATTTCGTTTTTGTACAAAATAATATATGTTTAAGTACATTATTTTATTACAATTAAAAAACTAATAGAGCTCAATTTTAATAACTGGCATATGAAAAGAAAATATAGTTAAATATTTAAATTAATATGTAATATAAATGTCAACTTATTAATTAACTAATCACACTCAGTACAGTACAAGTCTCTCGCAACACTGAAATTATAAATATGAAAGTATGTTTGTTTGTATGTTTGTCATTCTATCACGGTCGCTTAACATTTTGCATTAGAAATTTTTTATACCAATTATTACTGTTACGAGATTGAGGTTCGTGATAATAAAAAAACTGCCGATTGAATTACCAAAATTAACACTTTAATTCACTTTACACTAATTAAAGTTAAAACACTAATAATTAATCACACTGATTCACTTTATTCCGCTCCGAAGCTTCGCTTGTCTCGCCAAATTCAATACTTCCCCGATCGCACCTTGCAGCGCCTATAAATACACATTAGCACCGAAACATCCAGAACATTCAAGTAAATACGCGCACCAATCGACAAGGCGCCGAAAGTTCGAATGTCGGCTTCTAGAAGCTTAGTAGTAGTAGTTTCGACACCAGATGGCGCTGTCGGTTGAAAGATTAGTGATGTCTTTTTCTGGAACTGACACTACATGACATCAAATTAGGCGCGCAACATTACTATAAGTAGTTCAAATCACGCCCAGCGAAGCGGTATAGCTGGTTAAGAAAGTTTTGGTAACAAAATGTGCAAACATTTATTCAGTTAAATATCTATATAAAACGACTTATTGAACTATATAAAATAATATAATATTATGGTATTGAATGTTTTCAAAAAAACATATCTTTATATGAATTTTTTTTGTTAATCAGATTACGGTTTATAAATTTTACGATTTATTCGATCCGTTTTTCAAATGTTTGATGTCAGCTATGTGCCTATATTTTTTTTTTTTTTTTTTTTTTAAATAATATTAACAATGCTATAAACATTACTAATATTCCCTTTAACCACTCTTGGTAAGCTCAAATTGCTTGTGTTACGAGTGATTCCACGACCTTTTTGAGTTCGCAGTCCGCGTCCTGCCATTAGGCTACTGTCGCTTAAATTAATAGTACCTGGCAACTTATCTGAGTGTGCAGCTAGTTTTTTGAGTCCTCATAGTAAATAAGAGTTACAAACGAGCACACAGTCCACCTGATTGTCAGGGATTGCTGCGACCCATAGATACCTTCATCTAATCTTGATTAAGAATCATGATTTTGATAAGGATATATTTGTAATATAATATAAGTTACAAGTAAATAATAAACACCTAGGTCCTAACTCATATAGGTACTTTTGCAAAAATGTTCATCAAATGTAAAATTAGACCTTAAAAAAAAATAAAAGTTAAGAAGTGAAGTTAGAAAGTGTTAAAGTCCTGACTTTAGAAACTCTTATTTGGAAATCATTTTATTATTTTTAATTCTTTGGACAAGGCTTTGATTTGCTAGCAAAAATCATTGAAACTGTTCAGTAAATATCACCATCCCGAAAAAATAAATAGTAATAATAAAAACTTCTTTATTCATTTTTCAACCCATCAAGATTCAAGAGTAGTTGGTTGAAAAAGAGACGAAGAGGTATATTATTTTACAAAATTATACGGAGTCACCCCTAAAGTTAATCAAAATAAAACGATACAGACGAATTGAAAACATCTTTTCTTTTTGAAGTGGGCTAAAAATAAAAATTAACTGTTGATACTAATTACATCTTATCCCTACTAGTCCCTCACAGAGCGTAAGATATAAACCTCTTACGTATTAAAGAAAATTTGCCTCAGTCAACATGCTAGGCGCAGGATGTGGTATTCATAGCATAATACGCTTTTTACCTTGTTGCCTCACACGGTACATGTGATATGTACCGTTTGAGGTAACTTGACCTCGTGACTCTATCTGAATTGGGATAAGGTACAGTTTTTTTCTTGAATTGTATATAAAGTATTTTTTATGATTTCTTACTTTCAGAAATGCAAAATCGAGTTGATAGCGACATGTCATCAGACGCTGAAGAGGATGTTAAAAAAATTAGCCAACTGACCAAGGTTATGGCAAATGTACGTAGTGATCTCGGAGAAATTAGAATGCCTTTACCTAAGAATTGGATAGACAATATAGACCATGATTGTCGTGATATTAAATGCACTGTAAGTATAACTATAATAATGATCCTTAAAATATTTTTTATTGGAAAAATACTTGTAAACGTTTAGCTATTCCAACATTCTACATTTGGTCATTTAACAAAATCAAGCGTAACTTGTACAAGCGTACTGGTAGTTTCAGTAGAAAATACTTTTAATAAAAAATAAGAAACAATTTCATAAAACTGAAAAAATTCCACTATAGTTTAATATCTTTTGAAGTAGAGGTTTTAATTTTTCAATACACAGTATCTTAGCACTGACTATAGAAAATTTAAGTTGACAAGCTCAAGGTAGTTAGTAGCTAAAACGTTACATCTTTTGTTTTCTAACTCTTAGGGGTAGACATTCTTCTAAAAATTTAAATGGGATTACCCTATAGCCTATCGTTTAAAAAGGAAACAATCAAATCGATTTATACGTGGCTAAGATATCGCGTACCTACAACCATACATCTTCATCTACTTCTGCTCCGGTGCTGATCATGACTCTCTCCCGTTATAGAATTTGCCCCCGGCAAAATCACGTTTATCATGCGAGGTGAGAATCGCAGTACCTGAGATGTCGCACCTTGGACGCAGCTATTGCCGATTTTAAAATGACTCTTACTTTTTAATAATTTTTTTCTTTTTCTAATTAGAGAATTAGAATTAAAAATACATATTTTGCGTGCAGATTTTATATTTATATATGTACATATATACGACGGCCTTGTTGGTCTAGTGGTTGCTGATCTGAGATCCCAGCTTCGAATCCCGGTCGGGTCAAAATCAGATATGAAGTTTTTCAGGCAAGAAACTCTCAGTAGCCGCCCGGAGTCATTTAGTTGACGGTTTTTCACACCAGTGCCTCGTAAAGCACGTAAAGCCGTTACACTTGGTCCACCGCCCCTACAATCTCTCTCCGGTCATGTCGGTTTGATCATCGGACTATGAGAGTGAAGGAATGCAGAGTGCATTTGTGCTTGCGCTTACACTCGGATACTATAATCCTGTTCTGCGTAGATGGCTAGTCTCATTTGAGCGGCCTGAAATTCGGTCTGTAGGTAATTAATATTATGAATGTAAAACGTGTCATTTTCTCAGCTGCCACTTCTGCAACCGGGCTGGACGCCACTGCATGTAGCAACATCCTGCGTTCATGTACATTGCACACGCTTATTACTAGCTGCCGGTGCCGACCCAAATATATGTGATGAAGCTGGACGAAATGCACTTGACGTTGCTGGATTAGGATATTATTTTGATCAGCAAATAAATGCAAAACAGTAAGAATTGTTTTTGTGTTACTTCTGCTTCTTCCTCTTGTTTTGTGCGATAAGCAAAATGAGAATAATATATTAACTGCTTAAATTATTTAGACATGTTTTTGTATTTTATAAAAATATACTTACGATTATATTTTCTGTTAGAAAACATACAAGAAATTTCCATATGTTTTAGCTTTACCACAATACTTCAAATGCTGCTTAAAGCTGGTGTTATTCCAAATACAATGAAGCCTAATGGTCTTAATAATTTAGACACACCTTTACATACAGCTGTTGAACTAGAAAGTATTGAAAGCATAAATGTATTATTGCAATCCGCTGCATCTGTTAAATGCTTAAATTCAGCCGGAAAAACACCTTTACATGTATGCGTCAAGAAGGAATTGGAAGTACCTTTGCAGGTACGTGACATATTTTAAAATAAAAAATGTGGATTTGATTGATAACGATTTCTAACTCGACTCAACAAGCGATTTTAGCTAGGATTTTCATTAAGTAGATGTCCTTATTACTTATGTTTAACATGGAAAGAAGGTTTGATTTGCTTATGAATTACACCCTATACACTTTACATCCTTCTGCTACAATCTATGAAAGAGTTTTGCTGAAAATTGGCCTCCTCCATAAATTGTCTTATATTCGCCATGTTTACTACCCTTGGGAGGTGGTTTTGCAACCGTAGTTTTTATTTTATTTTTAAATGTTATCAGGAAGACAATGCTGCTGATCACCATGTTTGTTTCCATCTATCACCTCTTACGATACCCACGGGACGATTTTGGGTATTCGATACTATTACACTGCCACTACACGGTCAATTCAGATGTATTATGTAAAAATAAATTATGTACGTAATATAATGAGTTCTTCTTTATTCCAGTATTGGAAATATTTGCAGCAATCACTAAGTTATTGCAATTCGCTGGTTTATAGATGATACTTATTTAATATCACACTTTTAGATTTTGGCTAATTATAGTTACAAAGATGCAGATCCGTTTATGGCTATGGTAGATGTAAAAGACAACGAAGGACACACTGTTCTTCAAGCAGCGGTAGAAGCAGCCTGGGTACCTGGCGTTTGCATAGCACTGGAGGCTGGCGCTGATGTAACTATGAAGGTAGTTTTCCAGTAAATCTATTAATTTTTACTTGTTATTGTTCTGTAAGTTATTTGTGAAGAAACATTAATCAGATACCTACTTTTTAATGTATTACATACTAAATATTTATGTTAACATGACGAATAATCAACCTTTAAACACACTTACAGGCAAATGATGGAGAAACACCAATTCACTCAGCGGCTGCTCTTGGAAATTTAGACGTATTAACAGAAATTCTTAGCGTAGCCAAACAAAAAGACTTTATAGATTGTCAAAATGAAGAAGGAGAAACGCCTCTATTTAAATCTATTATTCATGGGCACCACGAGTGTGTCGCTACTATGCTTCAAGAGGGCGCTTCTATAAAAATAACATTACCAGGCGATGTCAATGTATTTCATGTTGCAGCAGAAAATGGCTTGTTAGAAATACTAAAGATTCTTCTTGAGTTCGACGATGATATTACTAAAGTTATGATCAATTCTTTAACTTCTAGTGATAGACTAGGATATGGGCCTATACATTTCGCTGTTTTCAATAATCACGTTCTATGTGTAAAACTTCTTTTATCAAAGAATGCCGATGTACGTCTGAGAACCACAAACGCCCCTGCAAAATCTTCCACTCCTTTACATATAGCTGCTTTAAAAAACCACGCAGAAGTAGCTAAAGTTATACTAAGGTTTGATAAAACAACTATTCATGAAGTTAACTGCATGGGATGGTTTCCTCTTCATACTGCCAGTCACCATGGCAATCGTGAAGTAATAAACCTTTTACTTCAAGAAGGTGCAGATTTATCTGGATATACTGATGGTCCTAAGAAAACCAGAAGAACGGCTATTGACATGATAATAAATACCCTTTCAAAACCTACAGAGTTTTTGGAAGACGTATTTGATTCTTATATTTCAACTAACTGTCTTAGTTTCCAGGACTCTAGTTGTGAGATCAAGATTGATTACAGAATCCTAATGCCAACCACTTGTGAAATAGAACAAATGAAAGTAATCGAAGCTCTCCTTAAAACAGGGAATAGATATGGACAAAAAAGGCTGCTTGTCCATCCATTACTTGAAAGTTTTCTTTACTTAAAATGGAAGGCCCTTTTGCCGTTCTTTTACACCATTATCGCTTTCTATTCTTTATATGTTTCATCTTTAACCTTTTTTATTGTTTCTGTATTCTTTTACAAGGATACGGAAAGAATTGCGCCTTTTTGGTTAAATCCAAATATTTGGGGATACATAGTTTATGCCACGATTTTCCTGATTCTGTGTCAGGTGAGTGTTTTAAGCGAATTATTATGAGCTAGTGAGAAGTGAGAGCACTAGTGCATGGCCAGTGTGTGGACTAATTTTAGCAGTAAGACCAACCTGTATCCTATACTTAATGCCGTTATCGTTACTGTCTATTATAAGTCCGCTGCTAACCATAGGCCTCCCCCATAGATCGACTTATATTGGGGAGATATTTGCCATAGTTGCTTGCTTTGCTTGGCAGGTGGGTTGGCTTTCACAGTTTATTTTTGTTTTTGAGTTGTTATTAGGAAGATGTTGCTGTTGCTGTTGTTTATCTCTGTCACCTTACAACACACATGAGACGATATTTGGTAGTAGATATTCTCACATCGCCACTCCACGATCAATGTTTATTTCAAAAGAAAAAAAGCACACGTCAAATAGATAAAAAACATTTTGATATAGTAAAATATAGATAATAGACATTAATTTATGCATCTTTACAGAAGATATAAAACTTTAAAAAAGTTGTGGTAAAACAGTTAGTTAAATAAAACGCAAACATTTTCCTGTAAGTGTGTATGGTGGGTGGTAAAATGATAGTGTATTTTCACACTTATCTTTTTTTATTGCGCTGGTTGTTACACAGTAATTACAGTCTAACAACAGCACAATATAGAAGATACGAATGAGAAGACGGGAACACAGTACAATAAGAGAAAGAGAATTTAGCAATACGAACTGCGTAAGCGCGGGTCGCAGGTTAACAATAGATATGGGCACATGCGACATGCAACGCGGAAACGGACGAACTGTCGATCTCGTTGCCCCGAAGGTGCGGCCTAACGACCAAACCAGTTTCGCATTCTTCGTTGTGTTTACACATAAAAGTGCACGGCGCGTGTCTGCTTGTACATAAATTAATTTATTTACACATATGGTTTATCAATTAAATTTTACAAAATTTAGATATTTTTATTTACATTAATATCACTAACAACTAACAAAATATAAATTAATAATAGTTTAAAATTAAAGTATAAATATATGAACATTTTTGCATTTTCAACAATTAAAATATAAAATATAAAACGCCACATTCCCGGCATAATTTGTGCACGGATATGCGAAGTTGCCGTTGTAATGAAGTGGCAACTCCGAATTAAAATTTGACTGCACAGTCCAAGGTTTGTAATTAAAACTATAACATTCTAGATTGAAGAATTTTATGAAATAGCATTGTATGATTGTTTATCGTTTTATCATTTATTATTTGAGTTAAAAATGAAGACCTCAGGAAATATAATTTTCGAATACGAGTTCTGACACACAGTGGTTGTAACACAGCACATACAGGTTGCAGTATCAATGCTAGAGAGGATACAACTAACGAATTCTCGAAATTGATAAAATACATTTTTATTGATATAGATATAGAAATGAAGGGGTTTTGGACGATACAACAACACTGACAACAACAACACTTGGTAGCAGTATAAAATCTCTTCATAGAATTTGAGATTTCTATCGCAAAAACATGAACATCTTTCTCGAGATTGCAGAAAAATATACTTCAAAATTTTTTCAATATAAAACCCCACCCCTAATATTTTTATTAAATATGTAGTTCAATAACATTTGTAAGTGTGATGAAATTCTCGAAATTGATAAAATACATTTTTATTGATATAGATATAGAAATGAAGGGGTTTTGGACAGATTAGCAACAACACTTTAACAAAACAAAAAGTTAACTAACTTTTTGTTATTGATTGCGTGTTTTGCCTGCAATTATCGTTCGGAACTCCGAACGATAATTGCAGGCAAAACACGCAATCTGGTGAATCATTATCAGTTGATTTCTAATATCGTAAAGAATCTCGAACATTGATGTCGAAATTTACAGATAAACAACCCCACCTCGTTAGTCAAAGTTTGCCTTTATTTCTGCATGATAATGCAACATCTCATTTTGCTGAACAAACCGTTTAAACATTAAAAGACCTGCAGTTAGAAACCTGTAATGTTGTTTGGTTGGTAAATGAAAGGGAGACGTGTTTATCTACTCAAGACTTTAATTATACTGTCACTTATTCTACACTTAACACAAATATATATATAATTTCGTGGAGCCACACTACACCTCCCACCGACAAAAAATAAAAAAAATAAATTAATACATTTGTTTTTTTAACTTATACAACTAAATATAAAATTTAATTCTAATACAAACATAAATTATAAAAATACAATCTTATTATATACCTATTATTTTCTAAAGATAAATAACAAAAAAAAATAGGTCGTATTCTATGGGCAGGTCGAGTGGGCAGATCCCCCTGTTCCATATTAATGTCGAGGTCACAGTCTTGTACATAGTTTCGTCACAGTTTAGTAGTGATAAACATCTACTTACGTTTAAATATTTTCTTATATATTTTTTTCACAATAAAAGTGTGGTACATTTTAAACTAAGTCACTTACTCGTAGGTATTAAGTCATTTAGTCACTTAATTTTAATGAGGAAAATAATCGTTTTACTCGGTCTGAATTATTCTCATTTTTCTCCAAACTACAAATATTATTAATTTATTACATTATTACATTTCACATTAAGATAAACACAACAAAGAAGTCAATGTTAAGCAACGTAATCATTATAATTAATATAGCAACACAGAGATCAAAATACAAATTGTAATCCTAACACCGCAAATATTTGGAGACAAGTTTATTTAAAATTCCAAAGTACTCGTTGTAATTACATCGGACTAGGATGACATTGTGTGATTCACGTCTAATTCTAAGAAAACTTTTACAATATTTTATAATATTATGAATGCAAGTAAAATGTACCTTATAAGGATAGTTTTAAATATGTCCTTAATTTAAACGGAAGTTTAGAAATAGTTACATTGCTAATATTTATGTTACTTTTACATAAATCACAAAATGCATTAGCTTTAAAAAAAATACTTTTGCTATAAAAAATTCTTTTTTAAAAAAGTCACTATAACAGCTATAAACTTCACACAACGGTAGATTAATTTATTTAAACATTATAAAGAACAATTTTTAATATTTTAGGTAGGTTATTATATAAATAAATGATTTAATGCCTTTAGAAAAGAAAGAAATAAAAAACAATAATAGCAAATCGCTCATAACTCTTTTCAAAATTGTGTACATTTAAATAAAATTTACTACATAAAAAACATACACGAAATGTATCATCAGTGATACGTTAACTACAAAATATTAAAAATTAATTAATGATATACAATTGTAAATGTAAATACGTAAAAATGTAATCTTCATATTATTTCATTCATGTTTTGCAGGAAACAGTAATAAAACTAATATAAAACTATAACCGAATAATTGAATAGAAATCCGTAAATTTAGCTTCATTCAATGTGTAGTGTTCGCGTAAATTTAAGAAATCATTATATAACCGAATAAAATTGAATATAAAATCAAGTAGATTATTGATTAATTTATAATTATTGCATTGTGCTTATTTTTTCAGTAATATAAATATTAAAAAAAAACAATTAAATCGTGAATTATCTGATAAATACTTTCAATTTAATCATATTTTAAATACAGAAAATTTTATGAATAACTTTTTTTAAAAAGCAAAAACAACATTAAAAAATCTCAAATTATTACAGTTTTAAATGGAATTAAAAATCACACAGGTGCGAATTTACCTCTCAAATTCTTCTTTATTCTTTTCGGCTCAATTTTCACATTCTTCTGGGTGATGCCCACTAGAATACAACTACTTCTTTCCCTTTTTAAATTAATATGCCGTATCTTGAAATCCACATTTTATTTTCCTCATTCTTTGTTTACTAATTAATAAATTAATAATATATATAGTTTGATTGTCTTCATAGTACTACATATATTTCAATTTTAATTTTGAGTTAACTTCTTTAAATTATTATTGTGGCCACTTCTCGTATCAGTTTTTGGTTTTCTTGTCACATCCGGTAGTATGTCAATTCAATAATTGAATTTTTTTATATTATTTCTTTATTATTTCTTTAAATTATTTTCCCATTTTATTAAAAAAATTGCAGGCCGCGGCGGTGCGCTGCGACAATGCACGCGCACCGCCTGGCAGGGTCGCCATGTAATATAGGAAAGGTGTCAATGAAGGAGACGTGTGGTTGGTACTAAAACTTTAATTAGACTGCCTCATTATTCTACCTTAACACTAAAGTATATTAACGTGGGAGCACTACACTACAAACCAAACTCCATTATTGCCAGACCTAGCCCAAAACGATTACCGTTTTACCACAATTCGGACAATGTCCTGCATGGAAAAAAATTTCCTTGGTAGCAGTATAAAATCTCTTCATAGAATTTGTAGATTTCTATCGCAAAAACATGAACGATCTTTTCTCGAGATTGCAGAAATATTTAGATAATAAGGGTAAATACTTCGATTAAAGATTTTTTTCAATATAAAACGACGACTTCTTACTTTTACCCCTAATATTTTTATTAAATATGTAGTTCAATAACATTTGTAAGTGTGATGAGTAAAATAACAAATAATGGTGACGAAATTGAAGCAGATAAGATAGCTTTAGCAATTGTTTTGTGTAGTGGGAACATAAAACTACTTAAATTTTTATATTTATTGAATTATTCTTTTTCCAGGAATTACTTTACATGAATGTAAAAAGCAACAGATACTTTCTACAAGTGGAAACATGGGTGAAATTTGGCTCAATAGGACTTGCAACAATTTTACCCCCGGCAATACTGATAACGCCTTGGTCGTCAGCGGAATGGCTGCGACATGTTGCCACATTAGCTTTGTTATTATCGTGGTTGCAACTGATGTTTTTATTGTCTAGATTCCCAAACGGGGGTTACTATGTCTTAATGTTTGGAAAAGTCGCATCAAATGTTATTAGGGTAAGCAAATTTATAAAACCAAAACAAAAAAAAATATCATTAATTTATGTAGATATTTAAAAAGCATATTGCATACCTGTTTCAGATTTTATTCACATTTGCGTTTTTAATAATTGGATTTACTCTAAGCTTTATGATACAATTTCATTCTCATATACCTTTTGAAGACCCGTGGGCGGCATTAGTCAAAACTATGGTTATGTTGACATCTGAATTTGAGTACGAAGCGCTATTTGACGAAGAACATTCAAAAGAATTCGCTAATTCTCTTATAATAGTAAGAGTTATTTTTTTGATATTTCTTATTTTGGCTGGAATTGTACTTATGAATTTATTAGTAGGTGTGGCAGTCAATGATATCAACGATTTGGAAATATTAGGTAATGTAAGGAGGCTAGCAAAACAAGTGGAATTTCTCAGCATATTAGACAGCCTTTTTTATAATAAATTTTTTAGTAAAATCTTACCAGATAATGTAAGTAGGCAAATAAGAAACAAAAGAAAAGTTATCGGGATAATTGTATTGTACCCTGGAAAACCACGATGGAAAAATAACAAAGTTCTGCCAAATCATATACGAGATGCGATTATGAATGTAGCTCAGGCGCAGCAAAAACAAATAGAAGATGAATTAGGAATGAAAATGTTCAATAGAAAATTAAATGAAATGTATGAAATTATAACAAAAAAAGATGACCAACAAAAGGAGAAATCTCAGTTGGATAAAACAGAAAATGCACCTGGTAGGACAAAAGTACGACATGAAGAAATTATAAAACGCCTAAATAATTTAAACGACGACATGACAGAAATGAAATGTCAAATGTGTACATTTGCTGAAGATTCTAAATCACCAGTGGAGAAAATTAACATTAAATTGGATCAAATGTCTTTAGAAATCGATGAAATTAAGCAGTTTCTAATGAGACTTGAAAAAAAACTTGG